GAGTCAGATTGCTGATTGGCACATTACTGAAAGGTAGCCGGGTGAATAAAATTGTACCAAGATCTTGACTTGGGTGTGGTACTAGTTTGATGCATTCACACAAGCAAGGGATCCAAATGCTGGTCACTTCTCATTTGGAGAGAAAAAAATCACCAGGTCATTTGAAATGTTTACTTGAATGGCAAGTTTAGTAGTAAAGTAATTGAGCTTTGTAAATGATGCTGCCGGCTGCCTAGCAAGACAGAGTGCATTGGGAATCCTGACTGCCAACTTACAAAGAAGAAATGGAGTAAATCAAGAAACTGGGGGCCGGCGCTGTGGCATAGCGGGTAAAGCCACCGCCTGCAGTTCGAGTCCCGGCTGCTCCACTTCTGATCTGGCTCTCTTCTATGGCCTGGGGAGGCAGTGGAGAATGGCCGAAGTCCTTGGGCCCCTGCACTAGTGGGAGACATTGAAGAAGCTCCTGGCTCCTGGCTTCGGCCTAGCTCCGGCCATTGCAGCCAACTGGGCAGTGAACCAGCAGGTAGAAGAACTCTATCTCTCTCTGCCTCTCCTTCTCTCTATGTGTAACTCTGACTTTCAAATAAATAAATAAATAAATCTTAAAAAAAAAAAAAGAAAAAAGAAACTGGAGGTTGAATAGACTTAGAGCTAAGTAGCTAAGGGTAGATATGAACTACGTAAAACAATGTTTGCTGGCCTAGTGTGCCTAACCAGAGGTGCCTGCTTTGGGGAAAATATTAGGGTTGGGGATCCAGAAAGAACACACAAAAGGATAAGGAAAACAGCCAGGGAAACTAAGCCAGAAAAGAAAGAGACGACAGCAGCCCAGTTGTGATCCGGGCGGTTGGTGTCCTGGAAGGCAAGACTCCAGGCTGCTGGATGTGTGCAGGAAGGCAGGAGGCAAAGGGACAAGGGTGGAGAAGGCAGGGGAGTGGGCTGGAAACAGCCGTGGAACACCTGCAGGAGACTGGAACTGCATTCGGGAATAGAAAGCAAGCAGCACACGTGTGGAAAGGGCCTGATACACTACCTCTCAGACTCTGCAGCAAGAACTGGTGTGAAACAACTAAGCAAAACAAGGCTATCAGAAAGAGATTGTGGGCCATAATGCCATAATCAGGTTATTGATTAATGTTTGCCATTTGCTTAGGGATAGGGAAGAAATACAAGTATACAGCTTTGCATGAGCAAAGCTTCACTAACTAAAAATAATTTATCGGTTGTGACACCCACTGAGTTCGGCAAAGAAGGAAGATTACTTAAATATGATTATCATTCAAGGGTGAATATAGAAGTCTGAATTATCTGCATTCCAGGATGAAACTAGAAAATGTGAAGAGGAGGAAGTTTCTGGCTTGCAATAGGCAGTAAGTTCATTACTGAGAAAATCAAAGCATGTTTAGCAAACATGAGTTGGACAAGGCACCCAGGCAAAGGAGTCTTGTGCCTGCCAAAGGTTCCAGGATGCGAGATAAAAGGCAAACAACTTTGCAGATGCCTGGCATTCATTTTCTTTTTTCTTCAGGCTCTACCCTCAAATCCTGAGACAAAAATATTAGTGATGTGTCTCTACTAACCTCATAATTGAACTATAATTGGAGCTCATGAACAGGCCATTTTTCCTTGCACCTGCCATTCTGCTGAGTTTGTTTTCCTCATTGATTAAGTTGTCACTAAGTACTTGATTCCATTGTTTGCTGTTAAAATCAACAAATAGTTACAGTATCCTCTGAAGTCCTCTAGGAGATACAGAGGGGAATCGTATACCGTCAATGCAATGCACTCACTCATTCTTCACTTAACATATATATCTTTGAGTGTTGGCTACTGTTCTAAATATTTGATATCAGAGTTACAGCACAGAACAAAAAGTCTCTTTAAAAAAAGCTTACAGTCAAGTGAATGTGTAATTTGACAGCTTAAGTGGACAACTATACATATACAAATAACATAACAAAGGATATAAATAGCAAAGGTTAAAAACAGAGAATTATGGGCTCACATTCAGCTAAGAACAAAGGAAGGATGGGGTAGGCGGTGGGGTGCACGGATCAAATTGGGAAGAAGTGGGGTAAGGAGCATGAACCAAGGCACGGTTTTGGGAAAGCAAGGACTGCCTACGGGGAAGACGGGAGAGCTGGATGTGGCTATCATGTGGCATGGGTCAGAAGGAGGAGGACAGGAGGCAAAGATTAGTAGCAGACAAATCATGGAGGTGCTGAGATGACTTCGGAGAAGTGGTAGGACCAGAAGCGTTCATGGAATGGGTTGGAAGACAGAGGAGACTGTGTAGGGCATAAACGAAGTGCTTTCCAAATTTCTTTCTGTCCAAAGCTCATTCTTCAGTGAGGTTCCCTGGTTTGAAGATATTTATTATTCCTTGTGCACACGGCTGTTAGTCACTCCAGAACTAAATGCAGATTTCAATATAAGCCTGAGTCATTACTTAGAAAACTGACCCACAGTGTTTTAACAAGCATTCGAACACCATTATAATAATAATTCCCTTTAATTATAGCGTCATGTAGCTGTCATTGTGGCACAACAGATTAAGCCACTACTTTTGAAGCTAGCATCCCATATCCACTCGAGTCCTGGCTGCTTTGCTGCCGATCTGGCTTCCTGCTAATGTGCCTTGGAGGGCAGCAGATGGTGACTCAAGTGCCTGGCTCCTGGCTTCAGGCTAGCTCAGCCCTGCCTGTTGTAATCATTTTGGGACTAAGCCATTGAATGGAAGATTCTCTCTCTCTCTCTTTCTCTCTTTCTCTCTCTACTCCTCACCTTTCAAATAAATAAATATTTTTTAAAATAGCCTCATTTGCATTAGGCATTTTACTGTAAATCTATCTCACCAGAGACCCCATTAACTTGAAGAGCCTGGTCTAACAGGACATTCGTGGAGGAGGAGAGATGGGTGACTGGTCCCCAGATATTCACACTCCTTCTCATGACAGATGCCTGATAAGTGGGGACCACAGAGGTGACAGAAGTTGTGAAAATGGTTCACTATTCACTTGACCTAGAAAACCCCACAAAATCATGCAAATCAAGAGGTTCAAATTTTCATGCTCACCTTAAGGACACCCAAGAAACTGCCCAGGCCATCAAGAATAAGCATATCCAAAAACCCACCACATATCTAAAAGATGTCACATTGAAGAAGCAATGTGTGCCATGTCATCATTACAATGGTGGAGTCGGCAGGTGTGCCCAGGCCAAGCAGTGGGGCTGGACACAGGGTCGGTGGCCCAAAAAGAGTGTTGAATTTCTGTTGCACATGCTTAAAGATGCAGAAAGTAATGCTGAATGTAGGGGTTCTCTCTAGATCCTTTGTTCATTGAACATATCCAGGTGAACAAAGCAACCAAGATGTGCAGCCATACCTACAGATTGCATGGTCAGATTAGCCCATACGTGAGCTCCCTGCACCGTATTGAAATGATCCCCACTGAAAAAGAGTTCATTGTTCCTAAACTGGAGAAGAAAAAGACATCCCAGAAACAAACCGAAGAACCTGAAACTTAATGGCTTGGAAATAAATTCAGCAAAAAATAAACACAAATTAAAAGAAACAAAAGAAAAAAATAAAGGGTTTAACTTTTACTTCTCCCTCATTGCCATCACCCATTTACAGACAATGCCTGCCATTGTGTTAGTCTCTGTAGGTCATTCTTGTAATCCATTTTACTTATTGCGTCATTAATTATTGAGTATGTGGTCTGTACATGGGGTTTTCAAAGAATTGAGAGCAATGCAACTCTGAGTATGATGTTAGCTGAGCCCTGAGTAACTTGACAAACCCTAAAGTCCACCCTTTTGCTCTTCCCACAGCCAGTTTTCCTTGTGCACTCTAAGGAAGGAGCTGCCCGTCTTCCCTCTGGGGATCACTCCAGCTCCCAGGCTTACAGCCCATCTTCTCCTGAAAGAAATATGAATTTTGTCCTGGCCTTCTGGAGTTTGATCTGAATAGCTGGGCCATCAGTTCTCAGAGCTTTAGAAAAACAACATCATGTATGAAAAAGCCTGAAGGGCTGGCACTGTGGCGTAGCTGGTAAAGACACCACTGTTTCTAGTCCCCAGTGCTCCACTTCCAATCCAGCTCCCTGCTAAAGTGCCTGGGAAAGCAATGGAAGACAGCCCAAGTGCTCGGGCCCCTGCACCCACGTGGGAGACACGGAAGAAGCTCCTGGCTGCTGCCTTCATAATAGCTCAGCTCCAGCTGTTGAGGCCATCTGGGGAATGAATCAGTGAATGGAGGACCTCTCTCTCTGTGCCCCCAACCCCCATAACTCTGCCTTTCAAATAAATAAATAAATCTTAAAAGAAAAAAAAAAAGCCTGAATGGTGTCTGATTTACCCTGTACAGGCAATAGTTTTCTAGGTCCCAGGAGTCCCACAGATGATCAAAGGGCCTTGTATGGAAAAGAAAGTATCCTGAAATGGAAGCTGGAAGCCAAAGACACAAAACATACAGTGGAAGCAAAACACCAAGAGTGGGTGTTTGAAGGGTGAAGTAAGGTCAGCTTGGCTGGTGGGCAGAGGCAGTGCAGGGCCAATCATGATTTTTGATTTGGATAAGGAGCTGAATCAGATTGCTTTTTAATCAACCTAATCTTATAGTTCAATCTGTTTTTGCTTCATAAACTTTTCTTCTACCACTCCTACTTTTAGGAAAGAACTTTTTGAGAACTGAGAAGTAGAAACAGTGAGCTCATTGAATTTATATCAAGTCCATATTGTGGGATCTACTGTTTACAATCCTTACCTGAACTGTTAAGGTCGAGGTCGTGCCAGCCCACAAAGACTTTTTCATGTGCCATGTTTGCATTGGAACCAGTAGAGGTATCAGGGTAAAGGAAAAATGTTCTCACATAGTTAAAGAAAAGTGATAATTGTGATTACATAAATGTGCCTTTTTCCCCCCCTGAATGGTATCCGGATCAGGTTAACTACCCCAGAGACCGTTTTCATGGCAATAACTGAAAGGTTTAGGACTATATAAACCAGCTTTAGAAAATAAACGAGGCATTAGAAGTTCTACTATGTATGCACCTGCATGGGGTCTGAGAGGGAGACAACATGAAATGCCCTGTAAGTATATTTTCTAATTTAGCATGTAGGTGGTTATGTTCAAAATAACCAGGAGCAGTTCTATTTTTCCCCAGAGACTCTTCAAATCAAACCCAAATAGAATTTCCCAATATTAATTTGGCATAGAATTCCTCTGTCGAAAAAGTTCTGTTTTGCAACATCTAATGAAGGGTCCTCTCCAATGGAACAGATAATTGCTTAATGACTGAGAATCTTTGGGGTTTGGATAGATACTCATATTTTATGGTGATCTCCTCCCAGATTGGTGTTTTTTTAAAAAAAGATTGTATTTATTTATTTGAGAGGTAGAGTTACAGACAGTGTGAGAGAGAGACAAAGAGCAAGTCTTCCTTCCGATGGTTCACTCCCCAGATGGCTGCAACAGCCAGAGTTGCGCCGATCCAAAGCCAGGAGCCAAGTGCTTCTTCCAGGTCTTCCACATGGGTGCAGGGGCCCAAGGACTTGGGCCATCTTCTACTGCTTTCCCAGGCCATAGCAGAGAGCTGGATTGGAAGAGGGGCAGCCGAGACTAGAACCGGTCCACATATGGGATGCCGGCACCGCAGGTGGAGGATTAACCTACTGTGCCATGGAGCCAGCCCCTCCAGATTGGTCTTATTTATAACTATCAGTGAATTAGAGTTTCAGACGTATTTGATATATAGTATAATTTCCTCTAATAGTTCCATAGAACCGTATTGCTATCTGTTCTCATGTATTTCCTTGATTAACTTTTCTGCACCATGGTTGTTGTTCACACAGTAGCTGTTTTTTTTTTTCTTTGAAGACAGTTCTCTCCTTGTAATGTTGTCATTACATGTGGTATATTGCATGGGATGATGTAGGGATGGGATAAATGAGAAGTTCTGTCAGTTCTAGCCCATGTTGTGAGTGTACATGAGCTGGGTGAACCCTAAGTAGACCAGATAATGAACTATGGGGTATGGGGAAAGGCTCATCACTACACTTACCTTGATCTGTTCTTGCCCCCCACCAACTCTTTTTGACTTTCCTTCTGATGCCTAAAATTCTCTCAACAGGCAAGGCAGGTCACATAGACATGAAGTGATTAACTACAGAGACTGCAAGATCTAGTCCCATTTAAATACAATCTATTTCAAAATAAAGTACAGATAAGTGATGCATGGTCTTTTACTCTTGGGCAAGGTGGAAGAACCTAAAGGAGAAGAAATCAGGAGGAAATCTATTTCCTGAAGGATTAGGAGGTGGCCACAGTGATTGGATGGAGAGGAGAAGGTGCAGAAAAAAGAGACTGAGACTGAATTACCATTTAATCACTTATTTTATCATTTGGCTTAAACCAGTCTTTTCCTATGTGCAGATCAAGTGGTTTATTTGGTTGCCTACCATTTAGCTCAGTGACTGACAGTAGACATGATACGAAACAGAAAATGTCCTTGAGTGAATGATAAAGATTTTCCCATGGAAAACCCAGAATACCCCATATGAACCACACTGACTGAGTCTCCTGATACACATTGGGGTCCCAGGGGCTTAGGAGATATTGAAAGCTATTGATCGTTTTATGAAGACTGTAGCCTCACTGGGACTTTTGGCCCTGGACTTCTCGTTACACTAAGGAAAGAACACAGCAATATTTGTTTCCATTTCAGATTGCACCTTCCATCATTGTGACCTTCTTCCTAACTCCATCTCTGGCCCTGTTGGTGAGTGAAGGTGGAGTGGGTCCAACCCCCTTTAGTCCTCCTTTAGCAAAAATATTTCAAGGATGATGATCTAGGATGATGATCAAGGATGACTTCCCCCAGATTTCTTGTGGGTGCCTGTTAAGCCTGTAAGGTACCGGCAGAGTGGGAATGTGTCTCACTGTCACTTGCTTTTCTCCAGAACATCAGTGACAGCCATCCTCTGGATGGATCTGTCGCGACCCAGATCATCCATGTCAATGCCCTCCGAGGTCTGGTCAGCATTCGAGACAACAATGTTTTGAGTGAATGGGATGGAATCATGGACTACAAGAATGTAAGCTATGAAACCTGTTCATTGTGATGCTAAAGAAAGCCTTGTCTGGTCCAAAATGTAGCTTTATAAGCCTTTCCAGAGACAGAGGGACCCTGTCCACATTTGCCTTCTCTAGGTTGGGCCCTTGAAGGGAAAGCATGTCTCTAGGTAAGGGACCAATTTTCCTGCAGATGCACTGATTTCTTCTTGAGCAAAAGATTGGAGAAGTTTCTCTGGTCTGTAGGAATCCTGAATCCCTTGGTATTCCTGTAAGGTATGGACTGCTAATGGCACCCCAACTAACAAAGAGCCCTTATTTCTTGTAACTGGTATGTGCCACAGGGGTGATTTTGTTGGGATTTCAGCTTTTAATAGTTATTCCCAAAGAAGAATAATGATATATTTTCATTTTTGGAACTCTGGCTGCAACTGCCCATCTCTGTAAGTGGTAAGAACTAGGAGAACAGTGCAAGACCAGGAAGGGGCCACTGATGGCTTTGGAATGGCTCTCTGTGTGCCTCAGTTCCCTCTTCTGCAAGACAATATCAATAGCTACCATTCCTGCCTGGCAGGACCCTCAGGGATTAAGTAGAGTAAAAGCCCACACTGCTCATTCTGGCCCAGAGGGCCCTTTGCCATCCACCCCCTGCTGGCTGCAAGCCCTTCCCCTACCCATGCTCATCACCTTCCATGCAGCCACATGGGACATTGCAAGAATGACATGGGCATGCTTCTAGGCTCTCCCTTTACCCTCTTGCCTTCATGTGAGCCCATAGGAGAAGGGCTGTTATTCCTGCCTTGTGGAGGCCCCAAGAACCATGCTAGTTGCTCAGCCACAGAACAGGACCTCGAAGCGAGCCTTATTATGGAGCTAGCTCCTTACTCCCCCAGTCCTGCAGAGGCCGCCCTCTGAGATCCCTTCCCAGGCCTGCCAGTAGAGCTCTGTAAGCATTGCCATTCCTCATGTTGCCCTTTGCTGTGGTGCCCAGGGCAGCATCAGGCTGGGTGCCATCCCCTGACTAAATGATGTGTTTCGGTTGTGTTGCTTTAAGGCCCTCTTGGCGGCTAAGCTGTTTAGCAAAATGGCCTGTGTCCTGGCCAAGATGGACCAAGCTGTCTTCCCAAGCCTGGCTGATGTCAGCAAGGCCCTGGATCAGAAGGTAAGTGAGAGCAGCTCACTGTGGTCCCCTTCTAGTTTGGGGTCTCCCAATTCTGCATCCAACCACCTGAGAGTACTGAGTTTGTTTATGCTTCTTGTTATTAATTTTTTATAATTTCTATATTTTATTTATTTAAAAGGCAAAGACAAACAGACAGACATATATCTCCCATCTGCTGAATCACTCCCCGAATACCCACAGCAACCAGTTTGGGCCAGGCCAAAGTCAGGAGTCAAGAACTCAATCCAAGTCTCCCATATGCATGGCAGGGACCCAAGCTCTTGAGCCATCACTTGCTGTCTCCCAGGGTACTCATCATCAGGAGGCTAAGTTGGGAGCAGAGCCAGAACTCAGACCTAGACCATCTGATATTGGATGCAGGGGTCCCGAGTGGCATCTTAACCACTGTGCCCTATGCCCCACCCCATGCTCGTTCTTAATGCTCATGACGTCATACCATCATGCCAAGGATTCCAAGACACATCCATGGCCCATTCAAGTCAAATCATAATTGAGCAATGAAAATTCTATGTGATCCTATGCAATTGTCTCACTTTGACATATTCTAGAAGGATATGAGCTTCATGTTAGTGACTGTAAGTTGTTGAGTATAAGTGTTAGAGAGAACCAATAGAGTATTCACGTGCCCCCCTGTAAAGACTGACACATGGCCGGCACTGCGGCTCACTAGGCTAATCCTCCGCCTTGCGGCGCCGGCACACCGGATTCTGTCCCGGTGGCCCCTCTGCCCCTCTTCCAGGCCAGCTCTCTGCTGTGGCCAGGGAGTGCAGTGGAGGATGGCCCGAGCACTTGGGCCCTGCACCCCATGGGAGACCAGGAGAAGCACCTGGCTCCTGCCATCGGATCAGCGCGGTGCACCGGCCACAGCGCGCCGGCCGCGGCGGCCATTGGAGGGTGAACCAACGGCAAAGGAAGACCTTTCTCTCTGTCTCTCTCTCTCTCTCTCACTGTCTACTCTGCCTGTCCAAAAAAAAAATTGACACATACTTCATCTTTAGTTGAAAATAAGCACAAAACTGATGAAGCTGTCTTCCCTTCAGTGTCTTGGATGACATGAATAGTCTAACAAGCTAAAAATCAACAGGACGTCCTTGGCAAGTCATTGAAACCTGCTCTCATTAAGTAACCTGAATTCGCACATTTGGGGGACATTCATGTTGGTGGCATGAGCATTTTATGACACTTGAGAGAAAAATACTCTTTAGGACAAACAAGAAACAAGCATTCATCAATTTTTTTAAAGAGAGAAGCTGAAAACCTACCTGTCTGATTTAACAAGTAAAACCCAAGTGCAACAAGTAATTTTCAAACTGTTCTGTATTATTTTTACAGAGGAAAAAGCAATGAAGTCTAGCCAAGTCATGAAGTTAAAAAAAAAAAAAAAAAAGGTGAAAGGAACAGTCAGGACATACTGGCTTACAGACAGGTTTCCTGGAGTAATTTCACCACCTTGTGGCCATTTAGGATATTGCTGGTAGAGACAACTCCAGGGCAAGTTTGGGTTTGCAGCTTTTTTTTTCTTCTTTCAGTTGAATCGCTCCCATGTGCTGCTTCCACTGACCTGCGGGCCAGGGTCGGAGGAATCCTTCGCTCCCTGACTCACCACTCTGCTGCCTTACCTCTTCCAGGATTTGAAGCATTACCCATCCACCCACGGCCTGACCTACACTGTCTTACCCAACCGGGTCAAGAACTTGGCCCAGTATGGAGTGGCCATCAGAGACATGTGCAGAGATGTTCCCACCTACTTTGCCCAGCAGCAAAAAGAAGGTGTGTTAGCAACTCATCCGGAAACTTGAGACCATCCGTGAACCAAAAGCTGCAGCATGATTGTTTAGGTCACTGGCAAATTTTAATGACCAGGCATTCCATTTCTTTGCTACTGGATATAAAAAACAGTGTATCCCTGGATGCATCCCCCCAGGTGGTGCGACTTCCTGATGCCAGGGCTCACTGAGAATGGGGAGCAGAGTTAGCTTTACCAAAAGGTCGGATTTGGTGGTTGGTGGACACCTTTGCCTGGCCCAAAGCCTCATCACCCACCACCCAAGCAGCACCATGCCAAGTACCCCACCACTAGAGGCCCACTGCTTGGTGCTCTTTCCAAGATGCCAGAGGCTAGACGGCAAGACCCTAATAGTTAGAGTTCACACTGGGCAAGGGGCACCTCCGTGGCCAGCACTCCTGCTGGAGAAGTGGTAGGTAAGGAATCGGTGGTGAACAGCTTGGAAAGCAACCAGGTGAGACCTCAAGACCTGCCTGTTGATCTCTGCATGGTCAATAATTTCTTCCCATCAGCCTGATGCCAGTCATTTACACTTTAGTATAAGTTAGCCAAAGATCAGCAGGAAAACTCTAGGGGCTGGAAGATTAAGGAGGAAGATTCAGGGCCAGTAAAACAAATAGAAAGAGGATATGCGAGACCAATCAGTGCACGGATGGGAGAGATGTGGGGAGTGGGATCTTCCATTCCAATCCTACTGCCTCTTCCTAGCACATCTGTTCTGAGCACCACATCTGTTCTGAGCACACGCAACTCATAATGCATCCATTCTACATGGGGGTCTTAAATCAGCCTTTTTGTAAACTGCTTCTCTTTCTTTTTAAAGGTACTGCCCTGGCAATTGACCCAGATTCCTGTTTCAGTCTGCAAATTCTGCTCTTTATGGGACTCTCCATCTGTGGTGAGATCCCCGGGCTCTGAGCCTCCAGGTGTGCCACACGGAGAGCGGCCCCACCGGGCTGTCCCCACTCTGACTGGGGCCGACACCCAGGGACCCGGCCCATCCTCTGCCCACGGGAAGCTATCCATTTCAGTCCTCCGCCTTCCACCCAGCTCTGTGTAATCTGGAAAAATATATATGCTCTCTCCCCCTGGGTTAGAACAATAAAGTTTCTTGTGTCACCGATCTAACAGACCCTCCCTGCTGCACTTCCTCCCTCTGCACAGCCAGCCAACACAAACCAGGACAGCCCACACCGGCCTCATGTGAAGGAGAAGGTGCCTGTCCCAAGGACGTCTCCTCTCTAAGCGCCTCTCTTTGGGGTGTCCCTTAGGGGAATCTCTCAAGGATTTTGTCAACCAGTCAATCAGAAACAAACAAGGCACTAGCCCCAGCACAGACAATTGTTAGGTCCAAGGCCACATCTTGGTCTCCTGCAAACTGAAGCTGAGAATCCAAAAAATCTCTGCTCCTCCCCATGATGGCCCGGTCTGCACTATGAAAATCCCCAAGCCATATCCAAGTGAACCTACCTCTGGAAATGGTCTAAGCCCGTAAGTGGAAAGCCTCAGGCATTTCTCTCAGGTGCTGATTCTTAAGGGATCTGGATTCTTAGCCCTCTTTCTTTAACGGTCCATTCCTTTAGCTCAGAGGGGCAGAGCCATGCCCTCCAATACCACAAAGGACATCCCTGACTCCCTCGATGTGAAGAACAAGAATACACAGTGTTGAAGATGCAGACACAGACGTCTGTTGTAGGTTGGCAATGGAAGTAGTTTAAATTTAGGCTTCAGGGCCTTTAAATTAGGCACTTTAAATTAAGGGTGCAGGGCCTGGGGTGTTGTGTGGCATGCACACGTGGAGCAGAAGGGCCCTGGGTGTTGGGGATGCTGGTGAGTGTCAACTCCCCCCAGGAGCAGAGTAACGGTGCAGGAAAGCTACCTACAGCCAGGAATGAGGGAAAACCCAGGATACATCTCCAAGCGGGCTTTAAGGGGCTGAGCAGGATGGAGGCTTACAGTCTGCTACTGGGGCCATGCATGGCTTGTTGAGGATAAGGCAAGTGGAGGTAGGCCCACAACCACATTCCAGGTGGAAGTATCAGACACACCATACTAAGCTGAGTTGACACCAGGCCCCAGGAGGACTCCAAGGCCTGACCATTGAGCCCCAGACTCAACACACCATAGCTGCCGTCCGTCCTCAGCCTCTGTCCACTTGTTCCCTGACTCCCAGCCTCCACCTTCAATCCCAGCAGCAGGCACCAGCCCCTGCCTCATCACAGGCATCTAAGCCCCCATTAGGGCTGCCCCTGAGCCGTCCTTGTTCCGGAGGCCCTGTGATGGTGGGGGGCCTTCGGCTTACTGACTGCTCTGATGCCGGTCCCCTCCAGCCCCTGGGCTTCCGGGCCTCAGCTGCTCCTGGATTTCTCATCACCTCCAGACCACCTCCAATTATTGTAGCATGCCTGTCGCTTCCAGGAGGCTCCAAGACCCTGCACCCACCCACCATGCCTGGCCTCTTCTGTTGCTAACCCTACAGATACTCACTCCACCAGCTGAACTGGTTTCAAGGTCCGAGGCCTGCTGCCCTCCTGGCAAGCATGTCAAACCGGGCTGTCATTGACTGGGCACGGAGGGATGGCCGTGTCCTGAGAAATGGTGAGCAGAGTCCCCTAGAACCTGTCAAGGTAGATTCCAGTCCCTCGGGTTACAAAGGGAATCTGCTTCTTACAAAGAACCTTCCAGGGAAGTGTGTGGTTTTGGGAGTTGGGGTGGCCCGGGCAAAGGTGTGGTTCAAGTTATTTCCATCCTCAGATGACCTCGGTTAAGATTTGCCCTTAGAGTTCCTCTAATCCAGCACTCAGGGAAATGGATGCATTTGAATCTCCAACCAGTGCCCCTCCCTGACCCTGACCCAGACACACTCCATGTGCATCAAAGCTGCCAACCTTCTGTTTCAAATCAGTCACACTAACACTGACAGCAGTCCGTGTCTGCCACCTGAGTGAGGAACTTGAGCTTCTTGCTGAGTCTTGTAATCAGCTGAGTCTCCCTGGGAACACCTAAATGGTTAGGAATTTACTGGTGCTCCTCTAAGCATGGAAGTCTTCTATTTTCTTTTCTTTCTTTCTTGGGGCCACTCTGTGATTGACATAAGCCAGTGCCTCTGATGATGCCTCTTAGAGTTGGGAGAAGGGGCGGAGGAGCCCACAGGGCCCCCAACCCTCAGCTGAACCATCTCCATCCCTGCTCCTCCTCTACCAGGCATTGCATTCAGGGCAGACTCTGCCATCTCTCCTAATGAGCTGGGAGCCCCAGGGGCCAGAGGAGCACAGGCTCTGTGGACCCAATGCAGAAATGTGTCTCTTCTTCCTTGGGTGTTTCAATTATTTGTGTATGTCCTAAATATATTCTGTGGCTCTTTAAAGAAGCCAATCTTAGGCTGGCGCTGCGGCTCAATAGGCTAATCCTCTGCCTGTGGCACCGGCACACCGGGTTCTAGTCCCAGTCGGGGCGCCAGATTCTGTCCCAGTCACTCCTCTTCCAGTCCAGCTCCGTGCTATGGCCCAGGAGTGTAGTGGAGGATGGCCCAAGTGCTTGGGCCCTGCACCCACATGGGAGACCAGGAGAAACACCTGGCTCCTGGCTTCGGATCAGGGTGGTGTGCCGGCCGCTGTGGCCATTGAGGGATGAACCAACGGAAAAAGGAAGACCTTTCTTTCTGTCTCTCTCTTTCACTGTCCACTCTGCCTGTCAAAAAATAAAAATAAAAAAATAAAATAAATAAAAAAAGAAGCCAATCTTCTATCTTCATGAAGAAAACCTATGCAAGACACTGAGGTTGATACAGAAAAAGAGAGTCTGACCAACTTCAAGTACCTAGTTCCAGCTACTCAAAGTAGAATATTCCTTTCCTTCCATGGCTAATTATGTGGGCCAATGAATTCTCCCTCGGCCTCAGCACATTTGATTTGGATTCCATCACTTGGAAATACCAAAGTCCCAGCTAATACACTCTACCTTCAGTTGACACTTTATTATGTACTCTTTACTGTTGTTATCCACTATTTCACATAAATGCCTCATTTCCCCAATAAGATGATAACTTCCTTCACTGTGGTAGCCTTGTCTTGGGCCTCTAGCACATCTGTCTCAGTACTGAGTACATGGTAAGTGCTTGAAGTATATCACTGATGACTGTTCAGAGTAGATGTTACAATGATAGGAGTAGGAGTGTGTCGCTCCCCCTCTTCGCAGTTGAACGACACAGGACCCTGCGCTGTTCTTTTGTCTGCTCGGCCCTCCCCGGGTTTGCTGCTGGTTCTTCCCGGGTTGGCTACCGACCCTTCCACCTCCGTGGAAGGGCGGTTCCCCCTGCCACTTTCCCCACTTCCGCGGGGGAGCGGCACACCGCCGGCCGGCACTCTCAGGGGCTGCACAGGTGTTCCTCAGGTAGATGTTCCTGGTGCATGTTGTCTCTCTCCTCCTTTATAGTCCTCTTCCACCAATCCCAACTCTGCTACCCACACGCCGAGCATGCTGCTCTCCTCCAATCAGGAGCAGCTCCTGCAGCTTGTCAAGTTGGTGAGAGGCAGCTGTGTAGAAGCTGTTTACTCCTCTCCCAGCGCCATATTGTGGGAGAGCAGATGCATAGAATAAGTCTTAATTCCAGTAACTTAGTCTAGTCCGAGTTGCTCCCCACAGGAGTGGTCGATGGCAGATGGAAATTCTTGTTAATGTAGTCCCTCTTTGTTCTAAACTTGCATCCAACCAACAAGAGTCCACCTGAGACCCAATGCTACCTGGGCATTATTCATAGGGCAATTTATGCTTTTCTGTTACAAAGCAACTTGGCATTCCCAGTTACATTTCTCTCCCTTTAAGATTTTCAGCAAAGTGTCTTTCCTGGGTGCTAAGTGCTCCTTCTTCCACGCCTCACTTCAGGACATCACATATTGTAATAGTGTTCCTTAAGGTAGAGCCTACTGTTTAGTCAAGGAAAAGGACTTTCCTAAAAACCATCTGAATGGCCAATGCTTGATGCTTTGTCAGAGGGGAGAGCACCCTTCACCTGAGCAGTCCAGGTGTTTTTTAAGTGTATATCAAGTCCTTCCTTTCACCGAGTTAAGGCCACTCCTGCCCAACCCAAGCTTCTCCCACGCATAGAGATGACAGCTGGGAAGCTGTGCCAGGCAGGTGTAGAGATGAGACTCATACCCAACTGACCAGTCCGCACGTGACTCAGTGATATTGCTTGGGAATTTTCACACAATATGCTACTTTTTTAAAAAGATGTATTTATTTATTTGAAAGGCAGAATGACAGAGAGAGGAAGAGACACATACACACACATAGAGAGAGAGAGGGAGGGAGAGAGAGAGGGAGAAATCTTCCATTTGCTAGTTCACTCCCCATATGGTCATAATGGCCAATGCTAGTCCAGGCCAAAGCCAGGAGCCAGGAGCTTCACCTGGGTCTCCCACGTGAGTGGCAGGGGCCCAAACACTTGGGTCGTCTTCCACTGCTTTCCCAGGCCATGAGCAGGGAGCTGGATCAGAAGTGGAGCAGCTGGGACTCGAATTGGTTCCCATACGAGATGCCAGCATTGCAAGCAGTGGCTTTACCCGCTATACTGCAATGCCAGCCCCCACATCATGCTTATTATTTGAAATCCTGGCATTTTTTTCCTTCTACATGTTGACATAATCATGGCTTGCCTTCCCTTTCTGTTTACAAAAAAGCAAACACTCAGATATCTGTAAATATAGCCTTTATATTTTACTTCTAAATCTCAAAAATAGTTGGTGCATAAGGAAAAATGTAATTTGGCTTTTGAGTGGAAACCAAGAGTATATTTCTTTAAAAAGATGGAACGAGCAGGCTGATCATCCTAAATGTGAATGTCTGCACAGATGGAAATTCCCAAGATGCCCAGGAGCCCAGCTTTTGCGCAGCCTTTGGCACTGATGTCATCTGGAAAGGGAAAATTTGTTTTAGAGAAGAGTATTAAGAATATACAGGATGCAACACGTCAATGCTTGTTGTAAGTTTCTTCTGCTTATAGCTTCAAGTTACTCAAGAATTTAGCTATAATTGCATTGCAAAGAATAATAATATACTAACAAATAAAACTGACAATTCCTGGAAGTGCAGACTTTCTGGTTTGATGGCATACTGATGTGCCCTTATAAATACTAATGAGTAATTAAACTTTTTTTCTGAGCAGTTGAAATGTAATAATTGCTAATTCTTTTCTTCTTTGTCTGTCTCCTGTTACTCTAGGGAATTACTTTCTGGCATTTATCATCAATGGCTACCATACAACACAAGAAACTTTGTATAAAAATGCTAATACAGAACCATATGTTACCTGGATGAATCAGAGCTTTTATTCCCCATCTGTCAATGCACCTGCTTCCTCTTTCCTGAACTAATTTTATTCTACATCCTGAGAACATTTTTTAGTAACTCCCTTCTTGCTGTCTCCAACAGATGTAATTGCAAGACACCAAGTGATTTTTTCCTACTTGAAACTCTCACATGTCAAAGAATAAGAGAATCCAATAGTTTTATGTTAGAAGCCAGAAATCTCTTTATAATCCATCCTCTATTTCTGTTTATTACTTTCTCCACAGATTACATGTTCCTTGGAGGCAGGGTTTTCTTTCCTGCATCCCTAATATTGAGCACAATTTCCATACAGAATAGGATCTGATGCCAAAAGGAAATGGAATTGGGTCATGTTTCCATTGATTTGTAATTCATGCAGCACCTAGCAGAGTGCCTGGGACACAGTAGCTTTCAGAAAATATGTGGGGAATGAACAATTTCTCCATACTCACCTGACTCTGACTTTTGAACTATTTCCCCTTTATACAAAGGGATGTGTTCGCAGAGATGCTCAATGGGTGACCCAAACAGGAACCAGTCTGCCTCCAGGATCAGAGACTGCAGAGGGTTGTACCTGACCCACGTGTATTCGTTGGAGAACATGTTGTTCATAGCCTAGGTCAGTGCAACAGAGAGAAACAGTATAAAATGAAGTGACATAACCTGGTATACCTTATCCTACACTTTGCGTTTCGCTTTCAGATTGTTAAGCTGAAGGTGGTTGGGGACCTGAGAAGTCCTCTTCCTGACCAGCCTGCAGAGAAATCACAGTACTTGGGGCCCATGCTGTAGCACAGCAGGTTAAAGGCCCAGCCGCATCCTGCCAGGAGCTGGCTGCTCCACTTCCGATCCAGCTCTCTGCTGTGGCCTGGGAAAGTAGTAGAAGATGGCTCAAGTGCTTGGGCCCCTGCACCCACGTGGGAGACCCAGAAGAAGCTCCTGGCTCCTGGCTTCAGCCCGGCCCAGCGCCATCCATTGCGGCCATTTGCGAAGTAAACCAGCGAAGTAAACCAGCGGATGAAAGACCTCTCTCTCTACCTCTTTCTGTAACTCTTCCTTTCAAATAAATAAAAATAAATCTTAAAAAAAGAAGCTTTACGTACCAGTATTACTTTTCACTGTAGATGGCGAGGAAACGCAGAAGCAGGAACTCCCAGGACACAGGTGGCGCAGATGTAAATTTACAAGCACAGACCTTGTGTGTTCTCACCCTATTGTATTCTTTCTTTGTCTCTTTGTACACTGAACTTTATAACTTCACTCATTTTCCTACCAATCACTATTTCTTCAAATTTTTAAAGTTTGCTTGTAACTATCTTGTTTTGCTTTGTTTTAAAGGCAGAGAGACAGATGGAGAGATATCTCCCGTTTCCCAGATGTCCACAACCACAAGCCTGAGCCAAGCTGAGCATGGCACTCAACCCAGGTCTTCCACGTGGGTGGCATGGGCCCAAGTACTTGAGCCATCATCTCTTGCCTTCCAGGAAGAGCATTAACAAGAAGATGAACCGGAAGCAGAGTAGCCGGGACTTGCACCCAGGCAGTGTGATATGGGATGCCATTGTCCCAGGCAGCAGCTTAAGTACTGCACCGGGTCCCTACGTCCTAGAACCCTGCTCTGAGAAGAGAGGCTTTCCCACCATTTTTACAAAGACATTGACATCTATTTTAGCCTTCTGATATCTAAGGCTGGGTGGTAGAAATCAAGCTGAGGTCGACTCTGTTCTCATTTAAAAAAAGTGAAGCCAGCGCCGTGGCTCAGTAGGTTAATCCTCTGCCTGCAGTGCTGGTACTCTGGGTTCTAGTCCCAGTTGGGGTACCGGTTCTGTCCCGGTTGCACCTCTTCCAGTCCAGCTCTCTGTTGTGGCCCAGAGTGCAGTGGAGGATGGCCCAAGTCCTTGGGCCCTGTACCCACATGGGAGACCAGGAGAAGCACTTGGCTCCTGGCTTCAGATCAGCACCGTGCGCCAGCCACAGTGGCCATTGCGGGGTGAACCAATGGAAGGAAGACCTTTCTCTCTGTCTCTCTCTCTCTCTCACTGTCTAACTCAGCCTGTTTAAAAAAAAAAAAGTGAAAACACTTTTAAGAGGCTGAATACCATGTTTGTGGTAAGAAATGTTGTCTCGGGGCCAGCACTATGGCACAGCAAGTTGATGCCCTGGCCTGAAGTGCCGGCATCCCATATGGGTGCCGGTTCGAGTCCCGGCTGCTCCACTTCCCTCCAGCTCTCTGCTATGGCCTGGGAAAGCAGTGGAAGATAAGCCAAGTCCTTGGGCCCCTGCACCCATGTGGGAGACCTGGAAGAAGCTCCTGGCTCCTGGTTTCAGATCAGCACAGCTCCGGCCATTGTGGCCATTTGGGGAGTGAACCAGCAGATGGAAGACCTCTCTCTGCCTCTCCTTCTCTCTCTGTGTAACTCCAACTTTCAAATAAATAAATAAATCTTTAAAAAAAGAAATTATTTTCAAAAAAAACAACAACAACAAAAAAAGAAATGTTGTCTCCTCCTTCTCACTTCTGCATTTCTCCATGAGCACCAGTGCCTGACTCAAAAGCAGAGAGTGCCCGGGGTATCCCAGCATTACCTGACTCTCGTAGATGTACCGTTTGAGTTGGTCCATAGCAGGGATTTTCTCGTCCATCTTCAAGATGAAGCAGGCTCTTCGGGAGAGCAGCCTGGATGCGATGTAGCCCTGAGGAGGCGAGAGTGCAGTCACTGCCCCTGCCCAGCCCCCTTGGTTCTGAACTTGGTGAGGATGGTGTCGGAACCTTGCAGGAAAGACTTGAACACTCACCACGAGTGTATGTGAGCGCGTTTCACTCTGCACCCAAGTCTGCATTCAACTTCTGTAATACAGCATTGTATTTTTCATGTGTCATTTTCACTCTGAAACTGTGCAAACCCATGACTTGTGCTCCACTTTGTCAGGGTGTGGAGCCAGGATTTGTGGTGTGGGGCTTGAAGGACTGGGAGAACAAAAAACCCTCTCTTTCTCTTGATTTTGTTCTGCTTCTCCCCCAGCTTGGAATAAATGCAATATTCTTCAGATCTGTGCTGTCTGATATGACCACTACTAGCCACCTCTGTGTATTCAAACTTAAACCCAACAGCCATGCGTGGCCAGGGGCTTCCCTACTGCAAAGTGCAGAGAGAGAACACTTCCACCTGGGCAGAAGTTCTTGTGGACTGGGATGCCTTAGACCTTCACCCTCCCTACACACGCCTGCTTCATCTGCCTCCTCCCCGCTCCTACCCCACCCCTTCTCCACCTCAAATGCAAGCTGGTTGGCTAGGCCTGGGTGTCGGATTGGGCGAGTAATGGAGGGTGAGGACCTCGGAGCCGGAAGGGACCTCAGGCCATTGAACCTTCACCCAGAGTGAAATTTTTCTTGACAGAGATCCAAATAATTATGCACCATATAAATTTGTGTCTAATAGAAACTCTCTAGTTCCCATTTTTTAATTCTCACAAGTTCCTAGTTCCTAAATTCAAAATGGACTGAGGCCAAATCTGATGATAGTGGGAGAGGTTTAAACCAATTCCTCACCACTCTGATTTTTGGGGTTTTGTTTTATTTGTTTATTTGTTTAAAAACACACCTTCAGGTTTTCTAGGATAATTGCTTAAAAACAATGTCAATACCATTTCCTTTTAAATGGTATATTTCAAAGACTCTACTCGTTCAAATGTGTCACACCAATGGGGAGAAGGTGTGGGAGGAGAATTCTAGAAGAGACGGAGAAGAAAAGCATGTCCAAATGTCCTGTGAGATGGGCTACAGTCTACTTAGATTCAGCGTATAGCTCTGAGCCTGGATGAAACCATGTTCACAGTTAGTGTTGGTGGAACAAACGGAAAACAGATGAATGAAGGACATAACAGGTTTTCTGATTAGGTCTCTGGTTCTTGCGATTAAAGCCAGTAACCAAAACTTAGAAATAGCTTAGTGTGTTTTCAGTTAATGTACGTTCTTTATGATAGAAGAAGTGTGATCTTTTGGCTGTCCTAACTATAGAATTATCTTAGGATAGCTTCTATTTTGTGATTGCTTAATACTTGCTCTTTTTCTGAATTTTGTTTTGTATTAGAAGCCCTAATTCATTCATTTGTAGATTCAACCAATATATTTGAACTATATCTATATGCCATACATTGCACTGGGCTCCAGTCATTCATCTGTGCACTTACACAACAGTGGCATCTTTCTTCCAATTTTCACCAAAATAAGCCAAACACACATTTCCTGTGATTTTTTTTTTTTTACCTTAGGATAGTTTTTTGCCATTAAGATAGTTCTGTTTTTTTTTTTTTTTTTTCAATCAATTGCCTGGTTATTTAAAGAGAACAGTAGATGTAAGGAAGTTGTTCAAGAATTGCAACAATAGATCCTAGGGCTCAAATACATAATAAACTGTCCCCTTGCCCTTTAGAAAACCAATCTTGAAGAATAAAATCCCCTTGTTGCTTACATGTTTATAGTCGAAAATCGTAGTAGAAGAACACGATCCTGCATGGATGTTAATGATGGCGGCGTTTTTCTCATTGTCGATTTTCACCGTCTCATGAACACTGCCACCATTGCTGCTGGGGCTGATGATGTTATACACCTAAATTCATAACAGAGACATTACGAATTTGCCACACATCAAATACATTTTAGAGGCAGTTCCTCCAGCAAAATAAAATCTTCTACCCAGTACGAGTAAGAGATCGAAAACTTAAGCCTCTGTGTTAGGATCCCAATTCAAAAAGACCCACGCTAGTATAAAACACACAACACTGTCCTTTGTGGATTCCTCTCTTACATAAGGAAAAGCAGTGCTATCACGGGGACACGAGACGGACTTCCTTTTCAAGCGATGGCTTGTGTTGGTGAAGGTGATGTTGGTTATTGCTAGAATCTCTTCTCGAGCAGAGCATGTTTCACTTCCAGAACACAGCTCTCTATTGCCCACACGCTGTCTTGTATTTTTCTTGTCCTCTCCCAACCTCTCTAAGAGATAAATCCCACAAAGAACAACAACTCACCTCATGTCCATGAGCTGGGATCCCAAAGACGGCCAGCACCACCAGAAATACCCCCTGCAAAACAGACCCATCACATCCACTCCAAATCCAGTACTCGCTGAATGTGGGGACTGAGGGAGGCGTGGGACGGTAAAAACACAGCTCTCTCAGAAAACGTACGCCCGGAAGCATTAGTGATCGTGGGTGTTTGTTCAACCATCCTTTTCCACAGTGTAAAACACCCATCTTCATGCATGTATCAGGCGCTTGTCGAGTGCATATTTTTGGCAGACACCAGATTCCAGTTTTGCCACCCATTTCCAGCTCTTCCCAACATTCTGACCGTCTAGACAACAGGAAAAGCCCAGGGCAGGCGAGCAGTGAGGAAGGACTCATTTTGCTACCGAACTACCCTGCTCTGATTTACACATTTTCTAGTGAAAGGGGGAAAAAGCACTTCTTAAACCCCTGGAGATGGAGAAGGTGAAACAGATTTTAAGTGGATTTATGGGTGACAAAGCTCCAGGAGGCTTCTAAGGGAATCTATGAAAATAGTATGCTTGGGAGCATAATTAACTATTGAGGCTGACGACAAGGAAACCCCCACATTGCCATACAAGCCGTCTTGGTGTTCCCCTAGAACAGCAGGCGAACGGGGCGGAGGTTCGGATATTTTGCTCTGGTTATTTAAGAGGCTGACCTCAGTTTTGTGCTCCGCTGAACCCCACAGTATACTGTACCATCACAGAAAACTTCCAGTAGAGGAGGAGGTTCCCTTGTGGGAAGGGCAGGTATTTTTAAAAACTGTCAGTGAGACTTTTTCTACTCTCCTGCCATCTACCCATTATATTTCTCTTCTGGGGCTGAGGCTGGGCCCGGGCTGCCTGTGTAGACACCCAAGCGGCCCAGATGCACGGAGACTCAGGCCAGCTCTAGTAACCTCTGATGCTCCTGTGAATCCTATTTGGCGGGTCTAAAATTGGGGTTTCGACAGGTACATAAAGGGCTGATCACCTCATTGTGATGATTAGAGGGAGTTCAAGAGCATCCCCTGGCCCCAGATAACCTCCCATGCAACAGTGTGATTAATGCACCATTGTTACAAGTTTGTGCCTCCGGGTTAGGCCTCCCGTTAGAAAATTTAGAGACTCTGGGAGAGAAAACTCTTTAGCCTAACAGCCTTTAACACCCTATGAGGATGCACTAACAATTTGCTTTCTCCCTTAGCTGGAGTGGGAACAAGGGACAGAGACTGTGGGAAGAAGAGTCCATTCTGGAGAAGAACATAGGCTGTAGGCCACTGTCCTTGGCCTACTGCGGTGAGGAATGACAGAGGCTGGGACCAGAGGGAGGAATGGGAGTGGATGGGAAGAAGGCTTTGTCTCAACAGAGATGTAGGCATGATGGATAATTACAGAAGACACTTTACCTGCTTGAGTTTTGCAAGGATTGCTCCTGATAGTAGGGCCTAAGATGGATAAATTACACCCAAATCCCGCATTTACAGGCTTAGGAAAACCACATTCCTTTGTGCCTCAGTCTCCTCTTCTGTAAAATGAAGATAATACTACTTGGCTAACAGGGTCGTTGCAGTGAACAGATGAGGTCGTCCCCATGAAAGGCTCAGCCAAGGGCTCAGTGCACATTTGGAAAACAATTGCTGCTATACTACGATGACCAGTATCACTATCTTTCAAATTCCCATTTCACTCCTGGATAGTACCTTCTGTTGTTTAAAAATGCCTTCATTCCTGGGCCAGCGCCATGGCACAGTAGGTTAATCCTCCACCTGCAGCGCAGGCATCCCAGATGGACACTGGTTCTAGTCTCAGCTGCTCCTCTTTCAGTCCAGCTCTCTGCTGTGGCCCAGGAAGGCAGTGGAGGATGGCCCAAGGGCTTGGGCCCTGCACCTGCATGGGAGACCAGGAGGAAGCACCTGGCTCCTGGCTTCGGATCAGCTTCAGATTGGCATAGCTCTGGCCATTGTGGCCATTTGGGGAGTGAACCAACTGAAAGAAAAGCTTTCTCTCTGTCTCTCCCTCTCACTGTCTATAACTCTGCCTCTCAAATAAATAAATAAAATCTTAAAAAATAAATAAAATGCCTTCATTCCCTACAAAGCTCATATTAAGGAATCATTAAATATCTTCCATGGGGCTGGTGCTGTGGTCATAGCAGGTGCCTGAATTCCATATGACTCTGCCGGTTTGAGTCCCCATTGTTGTACTTCCAATCCAGCTCCTTGCTAAGCAGTAGAAGACAGCTCAAGTCCTTGGGCCCCTGCACCCATGTGGGAGACCTGGAAGAAGCTCCTGACTCCTGGCTTTGGATCGGCGCAGCTCCGGCTATTAAGGCCAATTGGGGAGTGAACCAGCGGTTGGAAGACTTCTCTCTTTCTCTCTCTCTCTCTCTCTCCCTCTCTGCCTCTGCCTTTCAAATAAATAAATAAACTTTAAAATAAATAAATAACCTCCAAAATAACATTCTCTAGATAGCTCCAGAAATTTTCCTTTGTATTTTTTAGTAAGCATCTCAAAAAAGCAGATAATGGAGAACTAAACCTCTGACTTACTATGCAATACTCTGCTGCCATCACAGAAGCTGAGAAGCATACGGTGCTCATCTAGCACCCCGACACCCATGACATAGTGCATGTGAATATTCTCTGCAAGCAGTCGCCCCAAGAGCATTACAAAGCTTAAAGGAGTACTCACGAGGATTTTCATTTTGCATGAAGAGAGGAAGGTTCTGGAGCAAGTGAGGCTGCCCTGTGCAGCTCCCACTCCTTTTATTGGCTTTAGCAGGTGGAATCTCTTTTTCTAAATGATCACTTTGGAATGGACCATATCCGTATCTCAGACACACCCTGGCAAACTCCATTATCAGGCTTGAGACCCAGCCACATCCCTAATATCAGTGAAGTTCCTTAGTCAATAATGAACTTGGTCACTTGGCAAATACTCCCTACTTATCTGTACCAAGCTGCACTTGAGACTTGAAATTCCACCCTTTAAAAATATTTTGTGAGGGTTGTTCTGCACATACAGTTCACAGACATACAAGGAGGTACTCCTGATAACTCCTCCTGGGTGGAAAGTTCTTCCTTAAGACCTGAGCTGGTCCCCCTTCCCGCGTGTCTTTATATCAGTGTCCTGCTTTGTGAATTCCTCCATCTCAGGAAAGGACAGGAAATAAAGGCCTGGACAGTGGCTGGGAGCCCTGCTCTGAGAACAAACAGCCTTGTGACTTGATTTCTTCTTCCTTTTAGACTTGGTGCTAAATTTTAGAGATTCATGGGGAGCAAAGCTCAGGAAACTTTAACCAATTACCAAGATCAACCACATTTTTACCTGAAACCTTGCTCAAAACTCCATAAAACTTGAGACAGAATCTGACTATAGTGAAAGGCTTGAGAAATTCTTATATTTTAAAAAAGAAAAGCGGGAATAAAGTTTTATTTGTGTAGTCTTTTTTTTAAAGTTTTATTTATTTATTTGAAAGGCAGAGTTACAGAGAGGCAGAGGCAGAGAGAGAGAGAGAGGTCTTCCATCCGCTGGTTCACTCCCCAAACGGCTACAAGGCCTGGAGCTGTGCCAATCTGAAGCCAGGAACCAGGAGCTTCTTCCAGGCCTCCCACATGGGTGCAGGGGTCCAAGGGCTTGGGCCACCCTCTGCTGCTTTCCCAGGCAGATTAGCAGGGAGCTGGATTGGAAGTGCAACAACAGGGTCTCGAATTGGAGCCCATATGGAATGCAGGCACTGCAGGCTTTGGCTTTACCTGCTACACCACAGCGCTGGCCCCTTGTCTTTTTTTTTTTTTTTTTGACAGGCAGAGTGGACAGTGAGAGAGAGAGACAGAGAGAAAGGTCGTCCTTTGCCGTTGGTTCACCCTCCAATGGCCGCCGCGGCTGGCGCGCTGCGGCCGGCGCACCGCGCTGATCCGATGGCAGAAGCCAGGAGCCAGGTGCTTTTCCTGGTCTCCCATGGGGTGCAGGGCCCAAGCACCTGGGCCATCCTCCACTGCACTCCCTGGCCACAGCAGAGGGCTGGCCTGGAAGAGGGGCAACCGGGACAGAATCCGGCGCCCCAACCGGGACTAGAACCCGGTGTGCCGGCGCCGCTAGGCGGAGGATTAGCCTAGTGAGCCGCGGTACTGGCCTGGCCCCTTGTCTTTTAACATAAAAATGTAATAGGTAGTTCAGGTTATGGTGGGATCATGAATTCAGAAGGTGGGAAAATTAATTTTAAAAAAAGCTTGTAGATTATGAAGTATTGAAAATTACCACAGTAAGCAGAGAGACAACTTGAAAAAGTCCTTGTTCTACTACTGAAACAGCTTGTTAACTAGTGGCTATTTTGAATGGTGCATTAAAAAGTGGGCAATTAGGAGAGTTACCTGATTCACTGGAATTCCCTTACCCTGGCTGTTCAGCTGGGACTGATGTACCACGCACAGCTTTACTGAACCTTCCCTAGCACAGCAGCAGAAAGGATTACACTTCTGTAATCTGCACATCTGGTCCTCTATCTGGCTCCGGACACCCAAAATACAAGCCAGCAATGCTTCCAACATTAGGGCTGATGGAACTATTACAATCTACCCTCTACTTTTTTCCCTTTTGGTCCCTGGAATCTTGAGCCTATAGGTGATTTCATATATGTAAAGTGTTCGAGAGGTGGTGAAACATAATAAGTGCTCTACAAATGCTGGCTATGATCATGATTAGACCTATAGACTCAGAGTGAACCAGCGAATGGAGATATCTCTCTCTCTCTCTCTCTCTCCCACTTTCCCTTTCTATTTCCACATTTGCAAACATTCCACATGTGTGACACACATTCTCCATATGATGATTAGATTTTAAAGGGTATTTCTGATAAATCAATCTTGTCAATTTTTCTTTTCAAGTATTCTACATTATTCCTAAATTTTGACTTACCAAACTTAACTAATTCTTCTAGAGATATTCAAATCCTTTAAGATTATGCTTTTGTCTCTTTCTATATAATGTTTGTGGGGCTTTGCTTGATGATGTTCTCAGCAGTGTTCTTTGGAGTGGGCAAATTCATCACCAACACAACATCCTGGAGGGCTAACTATGTCTCCCTCTGGGTGGAATAGGGACCGCTTTTGCCTCTATTCATGTTCTCTTCTTTGTTGCTTTTGTTTGATCATATTTGTGTGCATATTTCTCTGATCTGTCTACAACTTTTCTGTGTTGATACTGCTTTACATGGTAGCTTTATCAAGTTATATTTATTGTCCAGTCTGAAAACTCTTTTAATATGTGAGCATCATCTGTTTCCTTTACTGTGGTTACTAATACACTTCATATTTCTTCTACTCTTATTTTATTGTATATTTACTTCCTTTTCCTCATTCTTTCTTATTTTCCTGTTCTATTTGTATTGATTAAAATATTTATAAAATGCTTAATTTTTTATCACTTAGTGCTTACTTTGAAATTTTAATATGCAGGGCCAGCACTGTGGCCTAGTAGGTAAAGCCACCACCTGCAGTGCTGGCATCCCATATGGGTGCTGGTTTGAGTCCCAGCTGCTCCACTTCTGATCCAGCTCTCTGCTATGGCCTGGGAAAGCAGGTAAAGATGGCCCAAATACTTGGACCCCTGCACCCATGTGGGAGACCCAGAAGAAGCTCCTGGCTCCTGGCTTTGGATCCGTACAGCTCCGGCCATTGCAGCCAGGTAGGGAGTGAACCAGTGGATGGAAGACCTCTCACTCTCTCTGCCTTAGCCTCTCCTTCTCTCTCTGTGTAACTCAAATAAATAAATAAATCTTAAAAAAAGGAAATTTTAACATGCATACTTAATTTTTCATAGTTTCTACAAACCCAAAAGACATCCTATATTTGAACTTTCTTCCCAAAGAGAGGAGGAACCCAATACCCTTTAACCAGTTATTGATTATGGTTTTTATCCCAACATTGGTATAAGGGTGTAGAATTTTACCTTCACTTTAAAACAACACAAAAGAACAAAGTATCTGATTAGCAGAAGAGAGGGAGCAGTACTAGGAGACAGTGAAGAATCAAGGCTCCAGAAACATCCCATCTGGATTGGAATTCCAGTTTTCTAATTTCTTGCTGCATTGATGAGCAGCCTCACTGCAAAGAAAGAGTACCCAAGTGCCTCCTCAGATGGAATTCTGGGAACCTTGACAACATCATCTATATAAAATGTAATAGTCATTAACCTGGAGTCAGTTCCCAGGGAAATTTGTCCAATATGATTATCAATAGCTATTATAAATAGAACATATTCAATCTCATAAGCAACTCTAGAATTGGAATGTCACGTAACATAATAAATTTAATTAAAGTAGAACTAAGCTATCTGGAAAATCTCTAACTATTGAGCATTTTTCAAAATCTCTTCTAAATAAACCATAGGCTAAAGAAGAAGTCATAGGGGATTTAGAAAACATTTTTAATTAAGTAAAAGTAAAAATGCATCATAACAACACCTGTGGGCTGAAACTTAAGCTTAGAAAGAAATGTATAACATTAAATATCTATATTAATGGAAGAAATGACCTCAAATGATCAAAGATTCTACCTTATTTTTAAAATAAATTAAATTCAAAAACAAATATCAAATTAAACTCCAATCAAACACAGGGCAAGAAGTCATAAAGAGCAGGAATCAGTGAAATTGAAACAGGAATAAATCAATGACGAACACCAATGATTTATTTAAGTGATCAGTCACTAGCCAACCTATTCAAAGAATTAAAAGGAAAGAAGTCATGAATTATTCTCTTCAGTGTTAAAAAGGGAGTATTATTGCTGACTTTAGACCCAAAGAATAAGGAAACTTTACAAATGATTTTATGCCCACAAATTCAATAACCGAGGCAAAATGACCAAAATCCTTACAAGATGCAAACTACCAAAATTCACTCAAGAAGAAATAAATAACCTGAGCAGCCCAAGGTCAATAAAAGAAATCGAATTTGTAGCTAGAATCCTCCTCACAAAGGAAATCTCAGGGCAAGATGATTTCACAGACGAATTTAATCAAACACTTAAGGAAGAGAGAACATGAATCCTACACAAATTCTTCTAGAAAACAGGTAAGGATAAAACAATTCCCAATTCATCCTATTAGGCCAGTATTAGAAATAGAAAAAAAAATAGACAATAAAATAAAAATAGACAAATATATGATGAAAACAGAAACTACAAATGTCCCTCATCAGCATAAGTCAAAGAAATCTTCAAAACTATGAACATATTAAATACAGCATTACAAAAAATAGCAATATACTAAGACCAAGTGAAGCTTATTCTGATATTATAAGGTTTGTTCAACATTTGAAAATTAATCAGTGACTCCAACATATTATAAACTAAAAAAAAAACAACATGTCATCTTCATAGATTTAGAAAAGGATTTAGCAAAATTCAACATGCACTGATGGTATCAACTCCTATAAAACTAGAAATAGAAAGAAATGTCTTCACTCTGATAAAGGATATCTTCAAAAAATGTCCTCAGCTAATATCATACTTTAAAATGTTAATAAAATTAATAAATTGAACTTCAATAAAGTTAATCTTTTGTTCTTCCAAAGACATGGTCAAGAAAAGGAAAATAAAAGCTGCAGACTGGGAGAAAATATTCGCAAAACAAGTATCTGATAAAGAACTGTACCTGGAATATGTAAATTTAAAAAACAAGAAAACATGCAGTTGAATTTTCGAAGCCGGCAAAGAAATTTTTGAAAGATTTTTTGCCGAAGAGGTGGCAAAACTGTGAGTAGA